TTTAAATCAAACTCAAAAGACAAGGACAGTTTTGAGACAAGCATTGAAGCAAATTTTTTTTATTTGAGTATGACTTCTTTTTCGTTTGAAAATTGTTTGATATTCTCGATTGGAAAGTATATTTTTAAAGGAATTCGCTTGGTTTCGATTATCTATTTTGATGGTAAATTAATTTTCTTCATTACTGGTATAAATTTGCATACCTTCCGTATTGCACTTTTTTTTCAAGGTTTTTTCAAACTCTAACACGTCCATGAATCTTTTTTTACAATTTGTCAGTTATTTTGAAATATTTGCGTTCAATGCAAAAAACAGTTATTGAATTAAAACAAATGAATGTCTTAATCTATTAAGTCAAATCAAACATATTAAAACTTAGAAAATATATAAAAGGAAAAGCAAACTAAACTATCAATACTTATTTAAGTTAATATTGGCATCAATTGTAAAAGGCTCAAGTTTAATATTTTTGGGAAAAGTTAATACTGAAAGTCATTGAATTGCTTGAATTAAAACTAATTTTTAAATGTAATTTTATTGTTTGCTTTACAAGCATTTAGTTATGTTTAAATTCTCAATATTCACAACACTAGAATTATATATGTTACCGGCAAAGTTTGAAATCCGGCATTGTGTAGAATGCCTAGACATTGTATACAATGCCTAAAACTACCCGGCAATGTGTGAAACGATTTATATTTCACACGTTTCTAAGGCATTCTATAGAATGCCGAATGAGAAACCGGCAAAGTATAAAATATATCTCCGATTGGTTTCGTAATGTAGAAAAATGCAATTCAAAATGTCATTCAAGAGTGCAATGTTGCAACAAAAAGGTTAACTTCTTATTATACGAAAATTTTATTTTCCCTATTAAGAAAGGCATAAATTATGTTTTGTGCAACTTTTATTTTTCTTTACGCATTTAGAATAATTGCTTTTAAATGGCACTCTCATTATTTTTTCAGAATAACAAATTTAATTTTGAGAATTGCAAATGATTTACATAATAACCTCATCAGGACGTTTTTTTCTTACTTTGCCTAAATAGCATTTGCCATTCTGTAGAATGCCTAGGTATTACATACCATGCCACCTAGGGAAAGTATGTGATACTTCTCATATTTCATACCTTGCCTAAAAACATGCAGCATTATATACAATGCCTAGGCATTCTATAGAATTCCGGCGTTTCATACTTTGCCAGTAGCATATAAATTAAATAAACTATTGTTTTTATTTATTATATAAAATTACTAATTGATATAAATTACAAAAATTTTGTTATTTACTCCAATCGGTTTGGAGAATAATAATATTAAGAGAAATTTCCGCGTGTAAATCTGTAAGTAACTTTCAATTTAATGATCCGGTTATCACATGCTAAGATGCAAATTGTGAACATGACATAAAATATTTGATATATTTATTAAATATACGAATATTTTGAATTTTCGTTTCCAAATTATTATTATAATATTTTGTTTATAAATTCATTGTTATATTAACATTTGGTTTTAAATTATTATACACTATTATTATACATTAATCTTGTTAACTTGGTTTTTCGTCCCTTTTAATTATTTGGAAAGCAATACTCAGGAAACAATATTTCTCTTTTTTTCAGATAGTAATGTTTTAGTTTTTCTTCCCCTCTAGCAGTCAATTAAAACTGGTTCTTCTCAGGGAAACTGAAAAACTTCAGTTTTCCATAACTGGCATAAAAACAATTTTATGCTTTTTCTCGATTATTTCTTTATTTTTTTATGACTTTTTAACTTGCTTAAAGATAACTTAAAGCAACTTTTGATAAGAATTCTGACTCGACCATATTTGTTTGATTGTTATTTTCAGGGTAAGAAAATCTGTGATCACGGTGGGATTGTGTGTTTATTGAGGAAAAAAAAATTGTTTTGAGTTTGATTCTGTGACTTATTAATCATACACACTATTCAATAATCATAAAATTTTTAAAAAAATTGTGCTTTTAAATTTTTTAATCTCAAGGACGATTTTGTATTTTCTCACTTAAAATTACATAGTATTAACTTAAATTAAAATTTCTATACTTTAAAATTCGAAATATATTAAACCAATATTAAATAATATTTAATAAAAAAACAATTTATGCCAATTAATTTTTCTGCATGGATATATGTTTTTGAATAAACTGATTTTAAAGCTCAGTGCAAAGTTCTTAAATACATAAAATAATTTAAGAAAGATGGTGAAATGTTCAAAAGTAAAATTAATGTTATTCTTTTAAAGTTTCGATCGTTTTTTTTAATTAAACTATCTCCATCATCCAGATATTAATCAACTATCTCCATCTATTTTTTGTAGTTAAATAGTTTCAGATTTAAAAACCCATATCCGTCGCTAAAACTATGTTTATTTTATGTGTTAACGTAAAAGGGAGATAATGTCATAGACAGATACAGATGCACAGAGACCGACAGATACAGGCGAGATAAATAGATAAAGAGAGAGACAGACAAAGAGAGAGATACTCATAGACAAAGAGAGAGAGACAGATATACACAGAGACAGACAGAGACCGACGGACAGAAACAGACAGGCAGAGATAGACAGCCAATCAGTTTGTGTCTGATTTCAAAGTTTAAAAAAAAATTGCACAGAATAATTAGCACATGTAAGATTATGTTCTTAGAGTAGTGTTTCAACTTGGGGCCTACTCCCCAAAGGCGAACAATTCAATTTTAAAGGAAAGCTATACAAAAATGAATATGTCTATAATTAAATGTTGCCTTACAGTGACAATCATTTTTATTCGAACTGAGTAAAAATTCAATATCAGTAACTTCTGTCTGACATGTTACCAGCCATGGTTTTATTGCATAGGCGCCGATTATAGAGTGACGGAGTTATCATATTTCCAATTTCTCATCTCTAAATCTGGGTGGTTAATAAAAATTGCATTCAATAAAAATCCGATCATTAATTCAAAAGTTATTAAGCTATTCCGCTTGTTTTGCTAATTATGGAATGTGAATAAGAAGTATTTATAAGTTTACAATACGACTTCTTCAAATCTTCTTTCAATTTATATAGTCGATTATCCAATCAATAAACAAAATTCTTTTAATGCATTTCATCTTTTTTCTCCTACCGAAATTACGCATTCATACTGAAATGAAATATGATAAAAAAAATACTCCAAATATTCATCGAGGCTTAAAACTTTCTCGGACCATTTTACCTCTGAATCTCCTTCATTATCTCCTTCTTCCCGAAAAGCCTTTAATGGTCCACCGGAGGCTACTACCCACCATGTCTTTCTTCCACAAAATAGATTATTAGTAATCGATACCACTATTGATATCGATTATCGCTTAGTATCTATTTTGCTTTTGCCCTCCTCTTCGCTCATAGTTCCACGTGCTATGAAGTCACGTCACATTAAGGGACTTGTGACTGCTGTTCTATTCTTTTGTAAGAGTTATGATTCCTCCTTTTTTCCATTTATGGTTGTTCGACGACTTGCAGCAGCGGAAAGAAAAGCGTTTTTGGTTGAAAGTGATGCTTTGTTGTAATGTGTGCGAAAGATGTTTTTTTCCCGGATATAGGAGATGTATGATGTAAACAATTCTATTTATAAATAATTAAATTAATGTCTGTTAATGTGTGGGATTTTTCGTTGAAACGCTCTAAATGTTTGTTTTTAAAATGCTTATCGAAAAATAAAATTATATATGGTATTGATACAAAGTAGGATTGAGGTAGTCTGGTTGTTAGGGCGTTGGGTCCATATCCAAGAGGTCATGAGTTCGATTCCCTCCGGCTGAAGACTTCCCGTGAGCAAAATGGTGACCAGTGCACGCTAAATCCGTCGGGATCACAAAGTACTCCAAATTCCTATAATAAATCAATTCCTTTGGGGGTACTGTATAGGTAAAATTTACGATCAGGTAAAATTAAACTGTCAGGTAAAATTTACGATCAGCGGATGCATGGTGCGTGCAGTGGATGCATGGCATGCATATCAAACGGGTTGACGTATGTGATTGGCAGAAGTCGATTTCTTGGCCATAGATGGCACCACTGGAAAACAAGAAGAATCGCACCCAGTTGCTTTAATATAGACTTGTTAGTATTGACAAGTGGCATAAGACAACAACAACAAACACAAATTACTATTTCAATGGGGAAAATATGCTAGAAAATTACAATCTAGTTTCAACACAGAGCTAAAGAGAAATTGAATTACATTTTAAACAATTTTGTAACGGGTTAGGCTAAAAAGTGGTATATATGCCAAATTTAAATCTAGAATTGTTTTTCCGTGATAGTGAAGGCAAGTTAAAAAGTATCAAAACCATTTTGATTACCTGATTAAATTATAAAACAATGTTTAATTTGGCTTTCCACTACATTTTAGATTTATGTAACAATTATTTTGTTCCCAGTTCCTGCTTAGCTCCAAAAGATGTTAAAAAATAATTTATCAAACTTTAGTAACCGTTTTGTTTCATTTTACTCATATTTACAAGAAACTCCCTATGTTCGTATTCATTAGCCTTCTTAACAAAGGGATTTGAAACATTTTTATTATGGTGGACAATTATAGCACATTAGATTTTAACCAAGCATAACACATGAAATTTTAACCACTTAAGTGTATGAAATGTTATAATGCAGCAAATTATTATTTATTTAATATTACAGTACATGTAGCATAAAACACGGACGAAATTCGCTTTAGCCACATTATTGTTCGTTAGCGTTATTAGAATATTCACTTTGAAACATATATTTTTATAAGAATTACTGCTGGCTTAAATAAAGAACGTTATACATGAGCAGTCGTACGAAGAATTTTAAGTACATATTATTACAATTATAGTAACTTGATACAATTTGTTCTTTTAAAGTGCTGCAATAATCATCCTAATACTTTCACTTTTAATAAAATATATAAATTCATATGTATTTAGTTTTAATGTTACCACAATTTAACATTATTGCATTTTATTTTTTAGTAACTAATGAATGCAAGACAAATAACGGAGGATGCAGTCATTTGTGTCTAATGGCCCCAAAGCCAGCTGGATTTGCGTGTAAATGTCCCACTGGAATATTGCTTCAAAGTGATAAAAAGACTTGCGCTAAAGGTAAAAATATATTCCTTTTATATTTATTTAAAAGCACAGTGACATTCAAGTGCTATGGTAACCTTAACCTAGGGGTGCATAATCTGCTGCCCACTGACTGCAATGCGCGTCCTGCTGGTGCTTCCGAATGCAATGATTTTTTTCTCCAGAAAATGAAAAAAAAATTTTCAATATTTTGAACATCACATTTGAGTCATCACTCTTTAATGCACTCAATTTGCATTGATTCTAATGTAAATCTATGTTGTTTCTCGATAGCTATTTCATTGGCTGTTGCTACAAAATTAAACATGGTTTTAAAAGATCCAATATTTTTTATACGATATTACAATACGCGATTTTCAAATTAGCGTAATTTTTGCTGATGTCATCATAAATCCGAGTGATAATTCTTTTTTTTTTTATTTATAATTACCTATTACCATATGGTTTTTAAGATTCCGATACATTTATTACGATTTGTGAGTTACAAATTGCCCATAGAATTTATTACTTTCTGACATTCTTTATTTGTCATAAATCTAAATGACTTTTTTAAGTCAGTTATTGCCGCGCTTTACTACGTGAGTTGAAATTCCAGTATTTTTATTACGATATTATTACGACACGCGAGTTTCAAATCGCACATTTATAAAATCACTTTGCATTCTATTTCTTGAAAAAGGTAACATTAATAATTGGTATGGCAACGATATTGGTATGGCACCATCTATATTTAAAATTTCTACAGACATATTAAAAAGTATCAAAAATAAATTTTTACCATTACTTCCTAACTAAGTTTTTATTTATATAGTAATAAAAATTATTCTAAATAAGTACTTAACGTATAACTAACTAATCAACACTATTTAAATTATAATTTAAGGTAACCTATATAACGAATATTATAACGAATCTAAATAAATGCTGTTTAACACTATTAAAATTATTACTTGAGGTAACCTAACAACTTGAATGATAACTATAATGTTACCAATAACCTAGTTTATGGTAGTAAATAAGAGTGTATAGAGATTATCTTATAAGTAATTGAAAAGGCAGAATTTCAATTTATATGCAATAATTACAGGCTATGGATTAAATTCTTTTTTTCCACTTCCTTTTCAAACAGTTTAACTATTTTTTCTTTGTTGAGATTTTAGGGATAGGGAGCTACATTTGATTTTAAAAGGTATGAAAGCATTTGCTTTTTAAAACGAAGTTTAATTGCGTTTTCCTTTCAGAGTGAAACCGAATTGCGAAACCAAATCTTATGTAGACTCCTATTAAATAAATAAAAGAAAACTGGAAAAAACAATTTTGAATCTTCCTAATCTTGATTTATTTAAATTAATAATAATAGTAAAAATTTAAAATTGTAGTCTCTTTTAATTACAGTTGTTTCTAGGTATATTTATTTAAAACTAGAACGAGAGTTTATGAAAATGGTTTGTTTAAAAAAATTAATATGCATACCAAAATCCATATAAAATGATTTGCTTAAAAAAATTAATATGCATACCAAGATGCATATGCATAACCCTTCAACGATACAAATGATATCAAAATACATCTTTTGGCAGTTTGGATAGTGATTAGAGGACAGAAATAGCTTAATCATTTTACTAAACATCAAATGTCAGAATTTAAATTTATATAAAATGATATTATAAAGTAAAGCAAACAAATAAATAATGACAGCTTATTACCCTTTTTTTCCATGCGTAATTTAATATCATGCATAAACTATTTTTATAAATTTAATTTCAAGTTAAATTTTCATTTACGAATGATTAAGTTAACATATTAAATCAATGAAAAAAATTCAACCAATAAAAAAAACATGCATGCTCTAACAAGAAAAGTGTCTTACTATTAGGCTTAACGCTTATGAAAAAATGAATATCTAATACCAAAACATTTCATTGAAAAAAATTCGAAGTTTTTATACTTTTAGTAAAAACATCATTATTTAGGAAAATTAAAGCGTTAAAACCATTTTCATGCGTTTATTAATTACTTCTTTTTTAAAGAAGCATTTTTCTACTTCATCTCCTCAAAAACTCTTCTCTTAATAAGGTTTTATGGTTCTACTTTTCGTGCTTGATGGCTATACGCTTCTTTTGAAGCGTTTTTGTTGAAGGAAAAAAAATGATAAATAGCGTTGATGTTGATGGAAAAACTATTGATTTTTTTAATCCTTTTTTTAAAAATAGAAATTCAAATAATTTGCAAGATGAAAAATATGAGAAATATGTTCGTGTTAGTTCGTTACGTTAATCTACGAAAGATTCTAAGATTTAAATTCCACTAACAAAATTATTTTTTATTAAATATTTCTAAAATTTAATAACTTTAATTTGAAGCTAAAAAATAATTCAGGACGAGTTTATTTAACCAACAAAAACTGAAAAGTTTGCTAAACTTTCTGAGCGTATGAAACTTATACTTCAACCTTAACTAAATGTATAAATAACTCTACTCAACAGATAAACACATTTTGCTCACAGTTAGAAATTTTTCGAAAAAAAAATGGTTAAATAACAACTTGTTTAATTGTTATTTTACTATATTTTAACAAACCAGTCAAATAACTATAATCAACCATAATACAGTTAAATAACCATTTATTCAACCTGTTAACTGTGAGAAAAACTGCTTCACCTAATATGAAATAATATGATTAAAACAAAGTCCACCAACAAAGTCCACATACTAAAGCAATTTAGCTCCTTGCAGATGCATACATATTATAGCCGAGAGAGTTAATACGTCAGTCTCGTCACCGACAGAGCGGGAGTTCGAATCCCAGCGTTGGCATCATAATATTTTCTCCTTCCCCTTCAACACACGTAGAGTTTCCAGTGTCCTGCCCTCCCAATTTGTGATCTGCACTCTCCAAAGCAAATGACATTACAAAAAACCTATATTCAATGTCCAGTAAAATTCTTTCTTTATGGATTTGAAACCATGCTAGTTGTAAATGGTTAAATAAAACTGTATAGTTTTGTATTCGTGGTTTTATAACCATACTAGTTGTAAAAGGTTTCGACAACCTTACAGGAAAAAATGGTATTCACCGTAAACTTTATGGTTAATTGGATGGGCTGACTCCTACCGGTTATTTTATCATAGATTTAGAATGAAAATTCTAACAGCTCAGTTATGCTCAATTTATGTGATTTATCAGAATTGGCTGAAGCATAATTAAGCCTGAGAGTATGACTTTGGGTCTTACCTTTACCAAATTATCCAAAACCTACCTATACTCAGAAATATTGAAATAACTTTCCAATTTGTTTCAAAAAATTAAAAAGAAAGGATTTTTTTTTAACAAGAATTACATCAACTATTAATATTTGATTAAATGTCTACGTCAGCAAAAATACCCCGTAGGAACTATCAAACATACAAATTTTAAAAATTAAAAAAAAAAAGTAGAATTTTTCATTATTACTAAATTTGTTATAATTTCCCAGTAGTGAATGGTAGATGCGAATTCTACTTTCGGCTCACGCCGACCACACTGCTAACTCAAAATATCCTCAGTGTTAGATGAATCATGGGTTAGAATCCCCTTACCGTCGGGCTTACCGTGGTAGGTTTTCGTTGTTTTCCTCTCCATGTAACGAAAATGCGGGTTAGTTCCATCAAAAAGTTCTCTCCAAAGGTTAGTTTTCTCGAATGCTGGAGCCAGGAGTTCCCTTGTTATTTGGGCTGGGTTCAAAATTACAATACTAAGGATTTAAGCGTTAAACTTTGAAAACTCATTATTGGGTTGACAGTTCAATGCCTGTTATAAAATAAAACAACAACAAAACTGTATTGGCATGGTAAAGCTTATTTAAAACAAATAACTTTCACCTTATAATGTGGTGTCAAAAAGCAAAGGGAAGACAAAGAAATGGTGCTTATTTGTTGAAAAACACTCTGAAGTGATCTTCTCTGTGATCACCCACTCTAACTTGTTTGGAATTTTTTAAGGGATGTGGAGGGGTTGATTTAAAAACGTCATAAAGCGTCTTTTGCGAGACTAACTAGGTAGCAGCTGCCTGCAGACGTTAGTAAAGTGCTGTGAATCTTCCAATACTCACGTGACTCATTCTGTCACCGATAAGACACGATGAAGAGACCTGATGACCACCTGCTGCCCTTATGGTAACAGGTGGTTGATTATTTAAAAAATTTATTGTAAAATTTTCAAATCAATGATTATTTATTTAAATTATCTCACTATGTCGAATTTTCCCCTTTCACGAATTTTCAATTATGAAGAAAATATATCATTTGATCAGTTAATTAAAAAGTGGTAAAGAAATTTTAAAACTAAAAATACAATTATAGTTAAGTATTTCCTTAAAAACACACGGAATTTTTATTAAACCTCATGCTGTTTAAAATGAATTGAATAAGTTCTATGTTTAACAAAATCAAAGCTCATTCGACATAATGTATAAACACTAATCGATCTCAAAATGTGTTTAAGGAAATAAGACTTAACTTAGAAATATCATAAAAGAAAAAAAAATTAAATTCACTCAAAATAATTACAGAAATTACAAGTTTTAAGTACAAATTCTTCTAGAATTTATTTCCAGGTAAATTCTAGTATTTAAACAATATGTAACAATCTAGTATTTAAACAAAATTATATATTTTGTACAGATATAGATAAATCAAGGAAATAATACATACGATTGCCGCAATTTTGTAGATTGTAATAATTACCAGTCTCTAAGAACCAAAACATGATGAATAAATAAATATAAAAATAACATTAAGTGAAACTCATTTTTAGGTCAAATCACTCATTGAAAAGTTTTAAATAAATGTAGATCATAACTTTAAAATCAAATTCACCAGGCCAAAAACTGAATAAAGTATTTTTTCCATTAAATTTAAAAATTCATAACCTAATTACAATTAAAAAACAATTAAAATAATACAATTAAAATAAATTTATGTTTAACAAAATTAAAGCTCATTCAACAGAATGTATAAACACTAATCGATCTCAAAATGTGTTTAAGGAAATAAGACTTAACTTAGAACTATCGTAAAAAAAATATTTAAAAATTTACTAAAAATAATTACAGAAATCGCAAGTTTTAAGTACAAATTCTTCCAGAATTCATTTTTAGGTAAATTCTAGTATTTAATCAATATAGTTTCGTACAAATGCAGATAATTATACATCAAGAAAATAATATAAACGATTTCAGAAATTTTGTAGATTGTAATAATTACCAATCTATAAGAACCAAAACATGATGAATAAATAAATATTAAAATAACATTAAGTGAAACTCATTTTTTGGTCAAATCACTCATTGAAAAGTTTTCAATAAATGTAGATCATAACTTTAAAATAATTTTCACCAGACCAAAAACTGAATAAAGTACTATTTATTCCATTAAATTTAAAAATTCATAACCTAATTACAAATAAAATAATTACGTTATGGTTTCTCGAATAAATATAAATTGGTTTTAAGTAAATTACGAACTGTTTGTAAAATATAGTATTCTTGACAAGAGCTTAAAATTCAAATTTCACGGTAGGAGAGAATTCAAAAGGGAGTAATTATTAGAGCAATTCAACAATTGTTCTCGAACTTTGCTGGACGACAATGTTTATCTACATGGAATTCATTAATTGAATATCTGCAAATTAATTATTGTTATGTAAAGTAGCGAATTGTTTAGAAGTGTCAAACAATGTAATTGAGAAACTCATTTGTATGCTTCAAATGTTAGTTATACTCAAATTAAAATTGATAATGCAACTTCAAGTATTGTGTTCAAATTATACTCACAAAATTTGATATATTTTAGTGATATTAATAATTTAATGTAACTGTTAAGAAGTAAATGAAATTGTTTAAATTAGATAGTCATGTTTTAAGCAATATATTTTTATTTTTACCTACAAAAAAACTAATAAGGAAGCTCTTAAATTTTTTGGTTTTGTGCCTTTTGAATATAATATTCGTCAAAGCTTTCCTTCTTTTCCATATAGCAAAAATAATGGTATAAAAATGCTTTCGTACTCAGTTATATTACTTTTGGTATAAGATACTAAAGCATAAATTATTTTGATAAGAGGAGATACATTTTGGGTTGAAATAATGATCGTTTAAAGAAAAATCAAGCTTCTTTGTACTACCTTATGACATTAAATAAAGATAAATGAAAATTGTGCTGTGCACAATTACTAATTCATAAGATACTTTGTAAGTTGAAAATAATGTTGTGAACTTTTTTCACAACACTATGTTTAGTCAAAATACCTTTTTTGAATATGATAATGTCTTATAAAATTCATGATGTGAATAATTAAAATTTTTTATGACATTAGATAATGATGTGAAAGAACTGTTTTGTGGGCGATGATATTGTATGAATAGTTATTTGTATTGGTTACAGCGATATTCAACACATTTTTGCTCAAAAAAGTCGCAAATTTCGTTCTTTGTTGTACAAATATGATGGCTACAGATTTGTTTGTCAAATACCAGATTTTATTTTTTTAAAAATTCAACTCGGCTAATATAGGTTTGAGATACTTTCAAACGCTTTGAAGTACTTTATTGCAAACTGTGAAAATATTTGCATCTTAATTCAGTATAATTTGTTTATTTTGAATTACAAGATTGTTCAAGATTGCTGCCATACCAAGTTTTGAGCTGAACCAGGATTTGTTGGGAATTGGTTGATCAGCATCATTGAATTTTAAACATAAATAATATTCCGTCAAGTTTAAATCATATTAATTAAAACTCTCCATTTCTTTAATAGCTCAGCTTAATATTTTTTTAATACTATTTTTTTGAAACTAGGATTACGAAAAAAAAATTACAAACATTATCCTTATACCTTAGAACATGAAATAAAAAACATTTATTCGGTTAAATTTACTTTCCAGTTTTGTATTTTCTACTAAATATCTGGCAATAAGAAAGAGAATTCAGAAGAAATTTTCCAGTAAACCATTACCATATGATCGGAAAAATTACCTAAGAGTTTGATGAATCGTTTTGATGAATATTAATGTTGTATTTACTAACCAGGCATATTTTTTTTCACCAGAGATTTTTCCTCATTAAAATTTTCATTTTAGAAATTTTTCTTCATTTTAGAAATTTTGTATGCATTAAAGATATTAGTATCTGGGGATAACTAGTCACCATTTTTCCCTCAATGTAATCTGGTTCCGAGAAAATTGACATTCTTTTTTTCAGCATTAAAAGTACTTAATTTTTATTAAATTGATGATGCTTTACAATTTTTTAACTAACCCGTTCTTCACATCTCACATCATTTTTTATGATAGTGACACTAACTCTCCAATTTAATACCAGATGGTACTGCAAGCATTTTTCTTTTCTATCGTTTAGCCACTTTACTATACCTAAACACATGATGTGTTAACTATTTCTCTGCAGTTGTTTGAAAGTCAAAAAATGGATCACGGATTTCAGAAGGCATTTTGCATAATTAAAATGAATAAAATGATAGTAGTATTGACAGGAAAACTTTAAAAGACATGGAAATTAATAAAGTATAAAATAAAAGAACAAAAAAATCGTTTCTGCTTCGGATATGGAATGGAAACATCCGATAATATATTCATCAAAATGTATAAATATTTCTCTGAACTCTATCTTTGGAATGTTACTTTACGATACATTTTTATCTCAAATAGCATCCGAAAAGCATTTTTACTTACCAATATCACTAATTAAAGGAGATAATTACCAAATTCTTCGTAACAATTTAAAATTCTTTACATATTAAAAATAAAAACCTTTTAAATCCATTAAAAGCTTCAGCCATTTTGATTAATATACATGATATTCTTAAGAGCAGAAGAAGTTTTGAGAAAAGTTCTCAACTTTCTATCGACTCGAGTTTATTGGTTGCCCAGGAACTTTTATTATTTGCGCATTTTTCAGGGATGAAGAATTTCCTGATCATGGCGAAAAGAACAGATATTCGAAAAATATCCCTAGATGTCCCGTACACGGCAGATGTTGTTCTCCCCATAAGTAATTTGCATAACGTCATTGCCTTGGATGTCGACACGAAAGGAGGTAGGTTTTATCCATTTTTTTTCTTTTTGATAAACAGTATTATTATTATTATTGGAGTTAAGTACTTATCTTTATAATAATTTATTTTTCTTAATAAAAAACTTGATGTATTTCGTATTATAAAATTCAAGTATTTGCTTAAACGATTTACTTAAAAAGATTTACGACTTCAAAGATTTACTTAAATGAAACATCTATTAAACTTGGTTAATTATTATCCGATATAAACGAAGTTTCCCTAACATAAATATGGGGGAAAAGTAAAGAAAACTGGCAAAAAGAAATTCAATTACGTTTTGTTGTTGTTTCGTTTATATTTAATGTGTTTAAAAAGGTAAATAAATATTAAAAATATCAAAAAGAAAGTTGACTGAGGTCTACATTTTTTGGCGATGTTCCGTTGGAGCCAGACCATACTTTAAAAGGATTTTTTTTAAATCTTCTTTTCAATTAGGAAAATCAAGTCATTAAAATTAATAAAATCAAAAGCAAACTCTCTGTAGGTGAATAGTTGGTGGTAGCCAACGAGGCAGGATTTAATTAAATAACAAATAAGTATGGAAAAATAAATTATTCCAAGAAAACTTAAACAAAGAACATATATTTTAAAATGCTTTTCGTCAGTGATATAACGGGCCACAATTTCTGTCACCGTGAATCAGGAAAATGAAACAGGCTAGTAAAAAAAGAGGAGAAAAGAGACTCAGTTGTTAACGAAAAAAAGGGAAAGGAAAAAGATCTTTGTAGCAAAATCATTGCTACAAAATCTTCTTTTCAATTAGAAAAATCAATTTATTAAAATTAGGAAAATGAAGAGCAAAATCTTTGTAAGTGAATGGTCATTGATTGCCAACGGTTGCTTTTCTTCAGTGATATAACGGGCCAAAATTCTTTCGTCAGGATGCCAAGTGAATCAGGAAAGTGAAACACGTTAGGGAGAACAAAAGAAAAGGAAAAAAGATCATTTAAAGAACTAAACTCAGTGGCGCGACAGCCCTAGAGGGCCAAGGCCTACTGTGCCCATCTCAGTTTTCTTGACCTTGGGCTCTGGGGTGCAGGAGCAGATGTTCCGGCCAGGTGGTCAACCGATCGCGGAATTCCCAGTGTTTAGTTCCCAAGCATGCTTGGTACTCATTTATCGACCCACTGAAGGGATGAAAGGCTGAGTCAACCTTGCCTGGCCCGAGGATCGAACCAGGGACCTGTGGCACGACAGCGCTAAGCGTTCCCGCTCAGCCACCGAGCGTCAGATCATTTGCTAACGGAAAAAATGGAAGGAAAAATCAAAAAGAAAAACCTTTGTTAGTGGCGGTGGAGGTCACCGAGGCCCAGATCAGCCACAGAATAGATTTCCAAGTGGAGCACGGAATAGGACAAAACTCTGATCATTTACTTGAGAATGCGTTTACACAAATAAGATGATACTCGAGGGTTTCACTATTTAGATGCGAATGAGAAACAAGCGTGATTTTTTAAAGATTTAAATATAAATTTAATTTTTTAGTCTCTTAATAACAACGTGTTGCTGTTATTTACAAAAATAATTCTTTGTAAATTTTAGACCTGTTTTGACCCCTATGATGCGTTTCGTTGTTTCGAGTTACATTTCAATTTTGCATTGGAAGTATGATTGAAAAAATGCTACCAAATATGCAAATTAATTTAAATTTTTAACATAATTTACATCCTTAAATGCAAGGATAATACTTACTTCCTCATTAGAAAAAGTCAAATTTTGTTGGATAACGATCCATAACTTAAAAACTTTTGTATAATTTTTAAGGGTAAGGAAATGTTCTATAAGCTTAGAGAGGCTGCTCGAATTTATGCTGGTAGTTATATTTTAAATTGTGTTCTTCAAATATTGTGAATTAAAGGATTTAGTGGAAGTTTATGCCATGTTAATACAGTATGAATATAAATTACTCTCTATAGCCTTGTGTTTTTGAAATTAATCAAACTAAAAAAGAATCAGGACAGAAACTGACTCATTTAATTTTATTTTATAACCGGTATATAACAGCCGACTCAATTCTAAGTTTACGATTATCACTGTTCAACTTTGCAGCCATGTAATTTTGAACCCAACCCAGAAAACAAGAATCAAGAACTGGAATAAAGTAATTTTGAATCGTCCACGTGTAAATGCAGTGGTGTGGAAAGTAACTTTAAATCAAATTCACTAAACAAAGATTTATACTTCAAAATAAAATTTACAACCATTATAAGAAAATTTACCACTAAGAATAGAAAGTTTGCAGCCCGGCCATATTTAAGGTTCCATTATTTTTATCTTACGATAAACAAAAGAGTGTTAAATTACATGAGTTAAGTTCAGTGCCTTAAACTCAACGCTTTAAATATATTTTGTTTCAGAGTTATGAAGAAGTTTCCCAAAAAATCAATAAGGAATTACTGTTAAAAACACCTTCTAAAAAACTGTCAGAAGAACTGTTAAACATTTTCTTTTTCTTTAAACTAATAAGGAAATTATCTTGTTATTTATTTATTTATAATTTTTTGCATTCATAGATTTCAATTCTTAGATTTCATTCAAAACTTGTGGTAAAATAACGCATCTCAGCTAAATAAAAATTACCACAAACAAAGTAAATTTCAAAGAAGTCGTAATTCTTAATTTTGAAGTCTTAAAATTTGATTCCTCAGGAACTATTCGACCGATTTCAATCAAATTTTGTATTTTGCCATGCAAAACTATATTATTTAAAATGATGCAAAAAATTTGATACCTAACAATTCAACATTTTTTGACCATTCTTAAATAAGAGAATAAAAAATGATAAGTATTTACTAAAATTTATTTTTTGCATAGAGTTATTTTTGGGTAAATGAATTTTATAATTGAATGTAAGCATTTTGCTATTCTCTTAACTAGTTCTCGATATATAACGAAATACACAAAAAGTGAAATTAACATTAAAGAGTTCACACTTTGGAACGCTCTCATGACCAAACTATTGGGACCATATTTCCCAAGATTGCGGCTACCCCCTTTGTTTTGGAGATCAAATCCAAATATTTCGTAAAAAAAAGTATGCGAATTCATAAAATATGTTTTTGTGTCTGATTTCCTAATTTGAAATATCATCTGCGCTTATTAATTTGCATATTTGAGATCACCCCTTCGAACCATTAAGATTGAGTCCTAGATCATGAAAATGCGGTCATTTGATGAAAATTTATTCAGGGTGGTCCTCCTTTTTGCTCTCTGTACAAAAAAAATAGCCGTGATTGTTATCAACAATAATTTAGAGGAACTTTGTGATCAACTAAAATGAAATATTTTTAAATTACAAACTTATTTCTGTAAAATGAGGTCTCATAATTTTGGTAAAAAATGTGTATTTTTTTTATATCTTCTAGAGAAAATATACTTATCTGATACAGATAAAGACAGAATTCAAAGTTCAGATCTGGATGGCTCTCGAATAGAACATATTATAACTAAAGGTCTTGGCTCGGTTGATTTTTTGGCTGTGGACTCAATTGGTCGAAAGTTGTATTGGACAGACGATCAACGTAAATGCATTGAAGTATCGGAATTAGACGGTTCACACAGAAAAGTCTTGATTTGGAGCAACTTAGACAGCCCCAGAGCTATTGCTCTGCACTATGAACCTGGGTAAGTTATTATGGGTAATTTGAAAAAAATCCATTTAAAAACAAATTCAAATATTCTATATGCTTCCAAATAGATTACGAACGGAATTTATCAACTTCAACTATTTTAATTCTTTAATAATTCCTATTTTAAATGCAGATTTATTTAAGTATATTAATTGAACAATTGTGACGAAAATAGTTTTACTTTAAATCTGCTCATTACTTGAAAACGTTTTTTAATTGATTATTATGCTCAAAGTTGTTTAAAATTTAATTTATTTATAGATCATGAAATTAAACCAAAAAAAAGTGATATAATATAAGAGTTCTTGAATATCAATAGATAAGGATTGCCAATAATATAATAATTCTTATAGTTATTACTTAAAATTGTACAACTAGTTTACAGTTTGTTTTGAATATGTGAAAATAGACCCAACCTTGAGCAGGTGGAAAAAATTTAAATTTACTTTAAAACATTAGGAATAAAATATTTCCGGGATGTTTTGTTTTAAAAGTATAATTATATATTTTTTTCCTATCAAAAATAATTTATTGCGTTAATGTTCTGTGTAAAGGCTAGACTAAAAATTTACACCTCGCTAATTACAATCACTGGTAAATTTTGAATTATGGAGGAATGATATTGTTTATTTTACCTGAAACTATAACTTTTCACATGGTATTTTTATTTAATAACTTTTTAGTGATATCTTTGCTAGAGGGACACATATAGGTTCAAAAAAGTTCATTGATAAAGTTCAGTAATCAGATCCAAAGGAAGTTCAATAATTCATAAAAATTTAGACACTCAAAATCTTTTATGATTATTGTTATTGAATTTGTTTTTATAAAGTTCCAGTTGAGCAATGACCTATCACCCAAGTAACTAACACTTAATTTGGCAGTTTTGTGTTAAACAGAACAAAATATTTAGCACGTGTAATACAATAAAATACAATGCGCACCCAAAAAGGTTACACCCTAAATAAATTTTGAAGTAAAGATTGGTTTTTCACAAACTAGGACTAAATCTTAATGATGCGAGGTAATGTCCGCAAATATGTAAGTTATTGAAAATGATATTTTAAGTTAAGTAATCAGACACAAAAGCGTACTTTGTTTAACTAAACGTACCTTTTTTTCCCCACGTATTTTACTTTTAAACTCTCAAAAAATGGGGGATAAATCTAGGAAATACGATCCCAATTATTTCACCGGGTTAAATATAGAACTTCTTTAAAATCTGATTTCTTAGGAACTGTTTCAACGATTTCTTTCCTAATTTGTATTTTGTCTCGTAAAATTGCATTCTTTCAATTAATGTTAAAATTTGTATAAATTACAATTCAAATTATTATCGACTGCTAGTAAATAAAATGATAAAAAATAATAAATATTTTCTAAAGTGTATTTTTTTCCAGAGAAATATCTTTGGATTAATTAATATTAAAATGGCGTTCACAAATTATTCAATTTTTTTAAGATGCTCTAGAGTTATAGCAAAAAATAAAATTAACATTGAGAGGCCCAAACAGCTTGAACAAGCTATTTCCCCTACCCCCTAAGTGCAGAAACTCAAAATCGTCAAAAAAAATTTTTTTTCAGGGAAAATGTGCTTTTGGGTCTAATTTCATAACTTAAAATATCGTCTGCTCTTACTAATTAGCATATTTGAGATCTACTCCTCAAATCATTAAGATTGAGTCGCAGTACGTAAAGATCCGACCATTAGATCAAAAGAAGTTATTCAGGGTGATTCCTTTTCCTTGCGCACTATACATGATAAAACTCATCCAATAAAATCATAAATTGAAATTAATAGCAAATAAACTAATTATACCTAAAAAATTTATTTAGGTTCTAAAAGCCAATTTATAAACAATAATCTATATTGTGTTCTAAGAAGCCAATTTATGCGCACAAGAAAAAATAAATAGAACTAATTTCAATAAAATAAAAATTTCCGTCAAAAGCATTTATATCTGTTTTAAAGTTTGGAGTTGTGGAACCGTTGAAATTTTCTTGTAGGCAATTTATAATTTCAAGAAATAAAAGTTCACAAAACTTTTGTTTTTGGTTATTATACATTATTGTTTGCGAATTTATTAGTATCATATTGTTTAGATATTTTTTATCAATAAAAATGAATATTGTTTTAAAATAACGCAATTATAAAACTTAATTTTCACTAAAGTCAACATAATGGTAAGACCTTATTTCCGCCTCTACAACGATAAATTGGACTTTTTTTCTTATACTAATAATAAGCCTAGCTATTTTAATGAGCTTAAACTGCTAAATTCGATGTTTTAATTGCTAGCTTTTTAAATATAAACTAATTGTCTAAGCATAATTAATATACACAGCTCCCAGAATTGCTTAGTTGTTTATTTCAATAGCTTTTAGCTTTTAATATACCAGCAGCATCAAATTAATAAGAGCGATATAGATGAAACGCTGTTATTTAATTTCATTAACCTTGAAATTGCTTTATCATGCAAATTAAATGACTGCTCATATAAATCAAATTATTCCGTTGCTGTTATATCACCCATTTGCGAACGAATCAAAAAGAGTCTGCATTTAATAGAATATACACTTCAGTTTATTTAATTGAAGGAGTTAATAAATGAATGTGTTCATTTGTAGGAACTTTTATTTTAATTTATTACAACTATCTAGAGAAATGCCAGTTACAGAGTTTCTGTTTTAATCATATTCTAGTAATGGTTTCAATGAGACTCTTTAGTGTAGTTATGCAAATGTCGGAGAGAGTCGAATTTATTTTTCCATAATTGAATGATCTATTATGTCCGGGCGCAAACTATGAAAATTTATGTTCGCATTGAGTTAGATCTTTATTAAGGTCTAATAAAAGTGGATTGACCAAATCTTTCTAAAATTAACTTCGGGTGAATTCAGTAATGTTATACCTATATTTTATTATTTTTTTCAAAATTATATTAAATGTAAGCAAATAAACTGGAAAAATATTTAAAAATTTATACCTAGACACTTTTTGTTCAATTTTGTACAATTTTGTTCAATCACGCTTCAATTTTAAAAAATGAGAGCTTGGTGTGTTATGCAAAATACTCAAAACTATAAAAATTAAAAATTTTTATTCATAGAGAATTTCAAACATATTTCTGTTGTTGTCAAAGTATATTTTCTAAAGCCGAGGTGGCTCACGGGATAGAGCACTCGCCTCCCAATAAGGTAAACCGGGTTCGAATCGCAGCGATGGTGGTTTCAATGCGAATTCGCACTCGTACGAATTACGTCGGCGCTGACCACAGAGTGCTGTTTTTAAAAGCTTGACCCACAGATTGAAAGCCCCTGTTTTATATTTTTCAAACTTATATAATTTTTATAGTATTAAATTCTATATAGTAGAAACTTATAAAGGTGTAAAAAAATCTGCTTTTGTAAGTGTTTTGACTCTTTTTATAATTTCAATAACAGATGGCGCCAGTGGTACTGTTAATCAAGAAATATTTTGTTTTTGTTATTTTCATTCCTTTTTTTAGTTTCAGTTTAGATTTATTCATTATGTTGGTAGATGAGTAATATTTACGTTTGGCAATATGGCCATTGAAATTTCAATTACTCATTTATAATTCAATGAAAAATATTTCAGTGTTATCTATAAATCATGCTCTGATAATCAATCAAAGAAATAAAGTATATATCCGGTAAGATTTCGAAAACTTATTTGTTGTGATAAGTTGTCATAATTTTCATTTTCCCACATTGTATTAGTTTCTATAATTTTAATGATATTCTACTTAACTTTTATGATTTTTGCATTATATAAGTTTATGATTTATTTAAGATTCATTCCAGTAAGCATTTATATTGAAAGAAATTTAAAAATGATATTTATTTAGAAATAGCTTATGATATTCAGTTTAAAAAACGCTTTTGTTTTCAAATTTTGGACTCAAGAATTTCAACTGGACTCAAGAATTTCTTCTAAATTGTGCCAAGTAAAACAAATTTTAATGTTTAAATGAATATTTAAAATAATATATCCAGATTATATTTACATTTGTACAATGCTTCCAAATCATTTATAAAATCACACTACCTTCATATTATGATTGTTCCTTAAACAATCGGGGGCATTCGTATAACTAAGCGGAAATGCTTAGTATTGACTTTAATATTGTAATCTTAATTATTTCTATTCTAATTACAAATATTAAAATGTTTTTGATATCAACTAAATTATTAAAACATGCAAACAAAATATTTACTTTGAATAGTTTATTGAATTTTCCTAAAAGCAATATATAATGCAGAACAAGGCTTTTTGCTAGTTCAAATGCGCTTAATAAAGCAAACAAAAATAACATGAAATTAAAGAAAAAAGAAAAGCGTATATTGATGATGATTTTATAATTCCCTCCGACTGTATTTAATTTGCTCTCTGTGTCATTAAATACTTTCTATGTTATTCTCTCAATATATTTAGCATGTACATTATTTAAAGCTAAATGTAGTACTATAACTTAGGCATTTTCAATCTTAAATATTACATATAATATTATTTACACAGTTCCATAAGCATCAACAACTAAAAAGCGTTATGCATCATTCATTGATTTGAAACATTCATAATATTTACATTGAAAAGTTTCCAAATTAATTTAAAACTTTTGAAGTAAATATTATATTTCCTAAACTATGGTCTTCAAGTTTAAACAGGTTTAACAGTTACAATATTAAATTAAAATGCGGGATACAATGCCATTTTAATACAATTGTTTTTTAATAATAATCTTCAAAACGATTTTAACTAAGTTAAACACTTGAATTATATTACCTCCTAAATAAATAATTAATATAACCTAAAATAAATCACCGTAATATTACAGGATCATATATCAGCTTAAACTTTAAACAAAAGTTTTTTAAAGCAGCAATCTATTTCACGAGTAACAACAACTAAAAAACATTATTCATTAGTGTTTAGAAACAATATATCTTTAAAATAATCATAAAATCCTTATCTCTTTAAACCTAAATCGAAATTTTGGAACATAGAATAAATCATGCATTAACTGTTATGCTGGAACTCAAATATTCCTCTCAATTATGTTCGACCACCGAGAAACAACTTTGCATCAACAGTTATGCTTTTCTAAGTTCAAACACATTTTATTACATTGTAACATTATTAAATTAAAATACAGGATACAATAATACAATTTCAAATTAAAATTCAGGATACAACAATACAATTTCAAATTAAAATGGTGGATTCAATACAATTTTAAATTAAAATTCTGAGGGAACATAAGGCAGTAATTACTTCAAAATACACTTCGACCATATTTTAACTTCAAAACAACTAAAAAGTTATACGCACTTTTATTATATTACTTACTCACTTAAAAAAATAAATACACATGACTTAAAATGTATCGCTGTAGTATTACAGGATCATAAATCAGCTTAAATTTTAAACAAAAAACTTTTTTAACCAGCAATCTATTTTACAAACATCAACAACTAAAAAATATTATCCATCAGTGCTTTGAAACAATATATCTCTAAACCTAAGTCAAAATTTTGAACCATAAACTAAATCATACATAAACTGTTAGGCTGGAAACTCAGCTTACTCAAATATTCCCCTCAATTAAACTCGGCCGCGAGAATTTGATATATTGGAATATAAATCTTCGAATTCCATGCTACCCTCTATTCTCTCTCTCCTAAAGTCATTGATGTATTGAAGAAGAAATAACGAAGATTAATTCCCACCCTATATTACGACTTCAGTCTACTTAAACTACTGGTAAGGGAATTAAATTTCCCTCCCAATAAAGGTTAGAAATTCATAAATGAACAATTTGTTTAAGCGTTCATCATTCTCTGGCGATTAAGCGCATTAATATTTTATTCGCGTACTCGGGAAATTTTTATTTAAGTTTACTTAAAATTATTTCTCGCAGTATTAATGATTTTGGAAGAATATGAGGTATTTAACTTAGAGAAGTGGATTAAGTTGGTATTAAAGTATTAAAAAATATTTATTTTGATAGATTAAGTTTAAAAGCAATATTTATCGTTTTGGAATAGATAATTATTTATTGGATTGTACTGCTTCATAGTTCTTTTGTGATCTGGGATTTAATTTTATTCAGGAAAATTAAGTAAAAACCGTTACTTTAACATTTGCAATGCAGATAAAATGTTTTAGACTGATTTCTTTATCAAAGTGTTGGGAATTCGGGAATTCAGTTTTGGAACTATTTATTTTATTGTCCACATCATTTTAAGGATGAATACCAGTTAAAATGTTCTCACCTGAATATCTGAATAATATCACCCAAACAATAGAAATATCATCTGAATACCACCTGAAATGGTTTTCTTCACAAAATTTTAGGATAAAATTTTAGAAATAAATATAATATTTTACACTAGATTGGACAATTTATGTATTGCCATATTCTCAATATCTGGTTCTCGAATTTTTTCTTTGGTTCCCTTTAGCATGGACATAACAATTTATTGATAGGTCGCTTATGGCATATTCATAGCAATTTCCAATATTGAAAGATTAGATAGATAATGATCTTTATGACATTTTAAAATTTATGACAAGCATACTTGATATTGAGATCTGGGGATGCATAGGGCAACGCAAAAAAAATATAGTCATTGTCATTTTTTTTCAAATCAATATTTTACATTGTCAGCAGTATAGCATGATGAAGTACTTTTTGCTGAAAATAGTACCCTTTACAATTAGAATAAATCATCAGCTTTACAAAAGGTAGCTGTGATGTTAACAGTGATGATAACAGTGATGTTTACAGTGATGTTTTGAATTAAAATGCTGAATTAAAACTGTGATGTGAAACACGAAATAAAGGCCTATAGCTTAGTACTTCGTAATACCATGACTGACATATAATGGTAGAAATATGTAATGGCATGTAACTATTATTGAAATATGGAAAGATTAACTAAGTTTATTTGAAAATTTCATACTGATGTCTTAAGAAAACACCTATTTTTACGAATCTAGAAATCATTTCTTATCAAAAATATAGATTATGGTTAAGATATTTTAAATTTATTTCTAGAATTAACCTAAATAGCGATAATTGCTATGAAAAGCGGTGCAATTATTAGAGAAAACACTTTTCTCTTAGTCAAGTGTGTTATTATCTGGTGAATAAATTTCAAGCCAACAACTGCTCTTTGACGTCAAATTTTTCTTATTACTAAAAAATAAAGTTTGATGAGAAATGTTTATATAAGCAAGAATAGTTGGGCCGGGATAGCCTTGTTGGTAGGGCACTGGGCCCATGTCCAAGAGTTCGTAGGTTCGAACCCCGCCGGCCGAAGACCGTGTAGTAAATGGTGACCGATGCACGTTAAACCTGTCGAGTCGTAAAGTCATCTATGTTCCATAACAAATCAATACTTCTGGGGGGTACTGATCCAGGAGTTTACTTGTCTTCTGGATTGGGTTCAAAATTACAAGGCTACGGAGTTGAGCAGTAGTAACCTAAAATTGGTTCGATTGTTCAACGACGGTTATAAAATAAAATAAAATCAAGAATAGTTTCTTTGATTTCGTGAAAATTCAAGCGTTTGACAGTAATGCACACGGATATCAGTCGATAATGTTATCAAACTCAGTAAATTGTAACTTGGATTCAAGACATTAATACTTGAAAAGTTTTATTTTATTTTTCATAGTTTTATGTACTGGACTGACTGGGGTAACAAACCACGGATTGAGAGATCAGAAATGGATGGTGGTAAGAGAGTGATCATCATATCGGACACACTGGGATGGCCAAATGGTTTAACTATTGATAAAGAAAATGCCCAACTTGTATGGGCTGATGCTCGAAGACATGTAAGTTATTAGATATTTCCTTTTTTAGTATTGCCTTGAGCTTCAATTAAATGTTTAGAATTGTCATATATGTAGCTAGTAGGAGCTACTATACTTAATAATGCTAGATGTTAATTGGAAATTGCCGTAGAAATTGATATCATTCGTTATATTTTATAATAAGTTGTACGAAATTAATGTGAAAATTTAACTTAACCCAAAATATTAATTTTCTTAGCATCTAATTAGTTTGCCGAAAGGTTGACTACCTACTGGTTCAATGTGCAGCAGTAAATTATGAACCTTACAAACAGAATCAAGTACAAAATCGATCGCTTACTGTACAGTACTACTTTCCCCTGTTGCATAATTTTTTCGAGCTATCAGCGGCAAAACTCTTTAGCACTAATAACTTTCTACAAGATATTTTTAATAATAACAAAAATGTATGTTACTAATTTAAAATAACAAAGGCGATGTGTTTACAAAATAAAACTATTATATATTTTTTTCAATTGAGCATGTAATAATTTTTTATTCTAATATTATTGGTGATATTCCAGCATTTTGTAAGTAATCATCTCAATAAAAAAACCGTTAAAAATTATGAAATCCGTTGCGAAAAAAAAGATCGACGATGAAATCATACTCCTCAAAAAAGGGGCTACTCAAATGCATTTTTCGTTTAGAGATAAGGTTGCTGTAATAAATAATATCGAATAAAAAATATCGGATTTAAAAGCTAGGGATAAATTAATGGCAATGACTGCCAACAATTGGATAGAATCATTGCTTAAAAAGTAAATACTCAAATGCACGATTCGAATTTTCCATATTGTTTGAAATATATCGGGATATTTAAAATCCACGTCAAAATCAATATCAATAACTGCCGAAAATACAATCGAAAGATACTATGGATACTATCAACGTAAATTGAGCGCTTCAAAGAGTGATTACGTAAGTGCACGATTCACATATTACGTGTAAATTTTTGTAGAAAAAAAAAGCTTTTTTTTTTACTTTTCAAAAGAAAAATCTTTCTGCAAGAACTCTGTAGCGTTCTGCGACAATGTCGCCGTGTCGTTGCGATTCTGCCACGGGGGCTACTTACTTTGAACAAAAACCTAGATTTTATGGTTTGTTATTAAAGTTTTAAAATGATTGCTAATATAAAACAGAGTGATTACAGAATTTTATTGAAACTACCATTACCTTTTGTTTCTAAACGAGGAATGGAAATTACTAATATTTCGAACACGAATGTATACATTTTTTTTCTCATTTAGTTGAATTTATGTGAAAGAAAAAATGAGTTAAGTGGATATCTTACTATGAAAAAACGTCGAAGATAATGAAATGTAATATAGAAAAATTTGTTTCAGACATAATCATTAGACACAGAAAAAAAACGTATACACTTGCAAACAACAGAAAAAATACTAAGGCGCGTTTTTCTTCTATTGTGCCAATTCCTATCACCACAGTAAATGATAGAATGGAGGAGTGGTGGCCAACGTCACTCTACTCAATGTCACTCTAAATTTGCTGTTATTACATCAGACAACCGAATTCTGTTTAGTTCCTGAAAAAATTTAATGCTGCTTATAATTTCTGACGTACCCTGATAATACATATATATATTAAGAAGAAGTACATTGGTACTATGGAGCATAATTCTTCTATTGTGGCTTTTCTAATCACCATAATAAGTTACTGCATGGAGGATTGATGGATAGGACGATTCAACGTCACTCTGAATTTACGGCCATTACATCAGACAAACAAATTCTGTTTTGCTCCTGAAAAAATTTAATACTGCTTTTAATATCTGACTTATCCTGATAATACATATATATTAAGAAAAAATACATGGGTACTATGGAGCGCAATTCTTCTATTGTGGCTTTTCTAATCACCATAATAAGTGACTGAATAGAGGTGTGATGAATATGCAGACTTCAACCGAACGGAAAATCGGCTTATGGTTTATGACCGTTCTCACCCAAAAATGACAATTCTCATCTGTTGCATTCTGAAGATTACTAAGTATTGACAAATCAATAATGAGAAAAATTAGTTCTCATTCAGAGTTCTGAACTAAGAAAAAAACCTTCCTGTCCACGAGAAAATTAGTTTTTTCCCTGAATTTAGTGGTCCTGAACATAAACTGTTCTTTCTCTTTGGTCAGAATATACTAAGGACTTGGTGTAATTTAGTGACAGTTCAAATTTTTCTACAAGTGAACATCAAATTATTTCTTGTTAATGCCACTAGATAAATATTTTACAAGCATTCGGAATTTAAACTAAATAACAGCAATACAGAGAAATATTTTATTATCTTCGCGGAAATCATTGCGTTTGACATTAAAACTCCTCTTGAATAACGTTTTCCTGAACAATTTCCAAAACGTAGCTAATCATTATTTTAGTCCAAGCTTTTCATACTTAAAAAATAGAATATTGGTATTAAAAAATTAAACACGGCACGGAAAATTATCAAACTTGCCTGTAACTAAAAAAATAGTAACAAAAAACAGTGTCAACAGTGTTTTTGAAAGCCTAACAACATTTCTGAAACACTTCTTTAAACTTTAAAATTAATACTTACAATCAAACAATTATTAGATATAGTGAAGAATTTATGCAAGTTACTGATTTCGGTCAACATATAAAATACATTTTCTACTTATTTCTTTAAAAAATTTAATATTAAAGAATGCTACTGTATGGTATTTTAATATGTTTCCATTAACTATATTTATAACCACGTGCAAATATTTATGTTAAGGTCATCGAGGCATGTAATTTGGATGGCCATCATCGTCGAATCTTGGTCAGCGACGTCCCCCACCCTTACGGCATAGCAGTGACAGCTCGCTACATTTACTGGACTGACTGGTCAGAGCGATCCATACTCCGTGCAAACAAACACACGGGGAAGAACATGGTCAATGTTTGTGCAAATCTGCCTAATCTTATGGACATGCACAGCATAAAGCTCAACGAGACCGGTGAGAATGTCATTTCTAGGTAATAGCCTTCGAAAGTGTTTGCAAAACTCCTGTCAATCTGTGAGGAAATGATGAAGGGATTCAGGAAAATTATTTTGAAGTCATTTTGCGTCAAGTAACTTTTGCTTACTTGTCGAATGCGTGCGTTACTGTTTATCTGAATGAATTATAAACTTCTTGAGAATTTATGTTAATCCATAGAAGATTAAATAAATAATTAAGATAAATATTTTGAGTGGCATATTGAAATTGTTTGAGGAAGAACTGCGATTAAGTTTCATAGTAAAGGAAATTTTGCGGAACGGGGCCGCAGTTAAAATATCAGCGGAGGTAGTAAGAGATAATAGAGCAGAGATGGGAATTGGTTTAAACTTCAGCTTTAAATTTAACTAAAGGTGACAGTTAGTTTCATTTAACTAACAGTGATTCTTAATTGAATTTATAATTCTGTTTAGTGACAGTAATTAACGTATTGCTTTTCTATAAACACACTAACATTTATTTTCTTCAGCATAAGAAGCTAGTTTTGGACATCCAATTTGTTGACTAAGATAAAATAACGCGCAAAAACAGTTTTTAAATATGTAAATAAATAAATTAATTAATAAATAAATATTACTTGATAACATTATTAACAAATGAGAGCTGTTCACTGTAAAAAATAACTGTTAATTCAACAGGAAAAAAAATTTTACAGTAGAAAAACCGTTTAACGATGAGTACAAATTCTTTTCAGTTTTTAATCATTACCCGTCAGTAGTAAAAAATTTCCGTATTTTTACGAACTTTCTCCGTATATTTGAAGATTCAACGCTATTTTTCACAAAACAATTTTTCTCCGTTTTCTCCTTAATCACACACGAATTAAAACTGTTCAAATTCTAGTTTTTAACACGCAGTTTTGCTTACCGTAATGCAACTTTATAATTTTTTTTTCAAATCATTTTACGATTATTTGTTAAACTAATATTTGTTATACTTGTATATTCAGATAATTATATTTTACTGCATGACAGGTGTTTAGAGCAAAGAAATAATGATTTTTTTTGGCGTTTAGTTTGTTCCAAACATAAAGATCGAAACACCGCTATTATTTTTACAGAAAATAGAACGCATTTTAAACTTATGGATCTATCTTTAAAATATAATTTTTCAAATAATTTAAAGTTCTTTCTAAGGATTATATGAAATATTTTTGCAACAAAATGCCTTCTTATACAGGTAATTGAGAATAGTCCAAATCGCATAAGAATCGCAACGCAGATAGTTTTAGATAATCTGATATTCAAAACCAGAAGTAAAAATTGTTATTGTGATTTCAACGTTTAAACAAAAAGGAATTTTCATGAGTTTAGAATATTTATTGCAAATAATATGTTATATATATAGAATTCAAAATTACATGTAAGTAGCACAATTGTGCCCATTTTTTAAGAAGTGCCCTGTAACAATCATAATTAAAACAATTCAATAGATTTGATAGTTCATACAATAATAATAGAAATAATTATTTATAGATCCAATATATTGAGTATGAGAGAATCAAACTTAGATTTCGTTAACATAAGCGAAGCAAGATCCTTTTCTATGAGGGCCATCTGAAAGTTTGAACAGTAATTAAAGTCGAAATTAATTTATTAATTAAATTTGATGCTTTAAAAAATCAATTTAAAAACCTCTCAGATTGTTACTTTTTTTCAATCATTAAATAAACTTAGAGTGTGTAGCTTCGATATTCGTATAGAAAAAGGCACTCTGTACTTCAAGAAACCCCAAAAAAATTCTTTAAAAAAATCTGAAATTGAATAAAAAATTAGTTAATTAGTAAATTAATCGGTATTTCGGTATTAAAATTTGGTATTTTGGGTAACTGTTAAAGGATTGACTGCAAGCATTTTTCTAGCGGGCTTATTACAATTTTCCAACTCAGTTAAATAATTGCTTTATTTTTTAAACATATTTATGTATTTTAAGTCTCCTTTTTAAATTTAAAACAGTATTTTCCAGCTTAGCGACTTCTTAAGCTGAAACATTTACAATCTGATGAAATATTTACACCATTTTTTAATTATACATATTTTTTCATACAAATAAACTTCAAAGCATCTGCAATCAAACTTTTCTCCCAATTCAGGATTGCGTTACTGTTTTGATTGTCATTTAATAATCCCATAACCTAATGGAGAATTAAAATGCATTCATTTGTCATTTACTTGCGTTGTTATATAAAATAATTTCGAATTAAAATTGCTCGTGTCTTAAATTTAATAACTTAAAATATATGCAATATGAAAACATGTTTTAATTTCAGGTGTGAATAAATGTGAACAGCATAACGGTGGTTGCAGTCATTTGTGCCTAAGGACATCCTTAGGATATTCCTGTGCTTGTCCAACAGGGATTCGTTTACAGGACAACGAACAGACATGTGAAGAAGGTAAAACTGTTCATTACGATGACTACGCTCTTTGTTCATGTTTTGCTTATGCTTTTTTTTATGTCATCACTAATTTGGTAATCTGTGTGGGTGCTTGTTAACTTTCAAGCGCGTACGTTAACTTTTAAGAAATTTTTATGGAGTCTCGTAAATTTTCTTTTTCATTTGTGAGAGGCATTCTTGTCGGTAGTGAATTTTATTTATTTAAAATTACAAAAAACTTATTTGATAATTATTTTTTTCCATGACTGTCAATTCATACTGTCTCTGTCATGAATCCCAGACTTCCACCATTATTTTTCCTACTCTACAACACATAGAAATTATATCAGTCATAAACAACCCCATTTTTAAGTTTAAATATCAAACTATATATCAACAACAGAGAAGTCAACTTGCTCCGGTAAGCGTATATATATTTCCTAGTGATACGATTCTTGGTTTAGTAAATGCAATTTTTAGGGTTTTTACTGTCTACTACATCCTAATAATTTAAAGGTTTATGTGATACGCCACTTTTTTACAGTTTAGCCTCTTAAAAAATTGGCAAAATTAATCAAAAATATGGAAAATTTAGTTCGTAGTTCTCCATTATTTTTTAAAACTTTCTGTCTAATCCAGAGCAGTTGGCATCTTTGCAACAGCGATGAGTATTATTTTTCTGTCACTCTTCAAGTGACACATAAAGTGCATCATTTGAATATTCTTTCTTTCTTTCTGAAGCTCCATCTACTTTTCTTCTATTTGCGAATCGAGAAAGCGTGCGCCGAATATCATTGGATACTACGGAAAATATGGACGTATATTTACCAATCCATGAAACTTACAACACAGTAGCTGTGGACTTCGACTACCAAGAGAAAAGCATCTACTACTCTGATGTAAAGCTTGACGTAATACGGTAAGTTATTCAATGAGATTTTACAATTCTATAATGGCCATAACTAAGAATTTAAATAAATGATTGACGAGCAGTAAGGTTGCAGGATAATGTAACCAGAACATCATCTCATTTTTAACCCAATGTCAATGAGATTATATCATAAGAGCCACCTACTATCGAATTGGTTGTTGCTGTTGTTCATTTACGTCGCACTAGAGCTGCACAATGGGCTATTGGCGACGGTCTGGGAAACATCCCTGAGAATGATCCGAAGACATGCGATCATGATTTTGATCCTCTGCAGAGAGGGTGGCACCCCTGCTTCGGTAGCCCGACGACCTGCGCGTGAAGTCGAGTATTTTACGGTAGAACAGTTTAATGAGGACCATTACCGTGAACCGTCGGTCCCTACGCAGACTAATCCAAGCTTTCACCCACCCGCACAGTGACCGCAGCCAGTGATGCTTGACTTCGGTGATCTGCTGGGAACCGTGTCTTAACGATCAGTTCACTGAGGGGACTTATCGAATTGGATTTCTGCTGTGATGGATGAAAATTTAGTAATTTAACAAAGCTCATCTAGATCTAGAACGGAAGTCATAGCTAGAGTTGCTTCTTCAATAAGAGAGATTTATCTGTATGAATCACGGGGGCTCTTTTCGGGGGAAAATAATTAGTAGCCTCATATTTGGCTCAAAATTATTTCCAAAGTTTCGCTTCAATATTCTTAGAGTTATGATAATGCCTCTCTCCTTAGGCTCAAGCAACGCAAATTAATAAACTATTGAGTGCCATTTTAAGTGGTATTAAATTTGTCATGGTCACAACTTTGCAGTACAATAAGAGTGCTGTACTGGATCTTAAATTTTAAGCTTCTTATGAGAGTGGATTGTTCTCTGATTTTTGTAGGTGGGTAAAGGTAGTGAATAAATGTTAATTTTTTTTTCTGAAACACATGCAGTAGGCAGAGTTTATTTTTAATTTCTGAATCAGCTAGTCAAATATAAATAACAATTTAATCAATTTAAATAACAGATTCAAATAAATTTCAATGCTACGTTAGTCACACTTTACACTTTTTATGCATTTCTTAATAAAATTTTTCTTTTGGTTAATGGCGGGCACTTGGGTCTATTTCCCACTGGCCTCAGAAATGCCAGAATTGCTACTCTTTTATCGTTACCCTGTGGGCACCTATAGCTAAGCCACGGAGATGGAGTAGCGTCGCCCACGTCACGCAACCACAAACCCGTTTATATGGCGGGTTACATTCACACAATCACACACAGAAGAAAGGGCATAAAACACAGAGAGAGGGAAAGAAACATCCATGCCCTAAGTGAGATTCGAACCCGCAACCATCTTCTCCGCAGCCAGGCACGCTAACCACTCGGCCACCTGGTCGGCGTATTTCGTAATATTATTTTGTTCTTTTTTAAGTAGCCGGATTTTTTCTCCTTTTTAAAGTGCAAAGATCAGTGCAAAGAATAAAGAATACCAGACACTGGTTCTTAACCTTAAAAAAGAGCGTTGGGAATATCAGACAAATGTAAACTGGAGGAATGCGGATTATCTTAAGAAGAGTTTATGAAATACGATATATCACCCATATGAGACAGAAATTGAACAAGAGATTAAGAGGTATAGTGATAAATATTGTTGATTGTAATCTTGCATTTTCGTGGTTTTCAGTGCTACTACAAAATAAACCAAGTAGAAGAATAATGCACTGCGATTCCCATACTCTCTCTAGTATTTCATTGCTTTAGTCAATTTCAAATTTAGAAGGCTATAGTCTTAGAGGAACAAGTTTCAAGCGCCGTACATGTGTGAGATAGGTTAGAAATTAAGAGCCGATAGTAATAAACAAAATTAGGTTTTGTCAAAAAGAACTTAAATTATTCTCTTAATTGTGTGTAACTTATTTTTTTTCAAAGAAATCTTTAAAATATAAATTGGACAGATTTTTTAAAATCAATTATCAAGAAATCTGATTTTCTTTTTAGTCATAAAAATTAAATTTGATATTTCTAAACTAGTTATTTTTTTTAATTAACAGTGCTCCAGAATTTTTCGGCTTGACCTCCCTAAATAACTTTTGATCTAATAATCGGATCTTCAGATTTTAGGCCTCAATCTTAATGGCTCGAGTAAGTGAACTCAAATATGCTAATTAATCAGTTCAGATGATATTTTAAATTAGTAAATCATACACAAAACCCTAATTTTTATGAATCGACATGCTTTTCTTAGGAAATATTTTAATTTTTGATCTCCAAAGCATAGGGGGTACCCGCAATCTGGGAAATATGGTCCCAATAGTTTGATCAGGAGAGAGGTCCAAATTTTTGACCCCTTAATGTTAATTTCACTTTTTGCTTACTTCGCCATATCACAAAAACTTTAAGTGAATTTAAAAAATTTTGAGCACAATTACAAAAAATTTATTCGAAGATAATAATTCCATGCCAAAAAAAAATTTCAGTAAATATTTATTATTTTTTGTCATTTTAATCAAAAATTTTCAAAACATGTGCAATTGTAAGATCGACAGCTTGTCGCATAATTTTAAAGAATTCAATTTTATATGGCAAAATACAAAATTTGTGCCAAATCGGACGAATAATTCCTGAGAAATCGAAATTAATTATGTGATTAATTTGAAATTCAATTTCTCTGGAACGATTCGACAGATTTCGTTTGTATTTTGCCTTATAAAATTACATTCCTTAAAATGATGCAAAAAATTGCATACCTAACAATTCAACATTTTTTCGACCATTCTTAAATAAAATAATAAAAAAAATAATAAATATTTACTAATATTTTGTTTTGCATGGAATTATCATTGGATAAACAAATTTTATAACTGTGTGTAAAAATGCTTCAATTTGCTTAAATAATTCTCAAGACATAGCGAAATACGCAAAAAGTAAAATTAACATTAAGGGGTCCAAACTTTGAAGTGCTATAATGACCAAACTATAGGGAACATATTTTTCAGATAGTCACCAACACATATTTTAGGGATCAAAAGTCGAACTCCGTTGAAAAAAGGTATGTTTTTTCAGATAAAATATGTTTTTGTGTCTGATTTTATATCTTAAAATATCGTCTGCACTAAATAATTAGCATATTTAAAGTCACCCCTTAGAATTATTAAGATTGAGTCCTAGAACCTGAAATTCCGATCATTAGATTAAAAGTTATTCAAGGTGATCCTTTTTTTCCCTTTAGACGCACTATACATAATTTAGAATCTAAACATACTCATAGTTTAGAATAATAATTGAAATCATTAAAAAATTAAAAGTTTTCAGAATCAGTTACGATTAACAATTTTAATTAAGGTATCTGACTAGGTGTGACATATTTTATTAAACGTAGACTTAATTAAAATTTTAACTTTATTTTCGGTAAGGAGGGATCATAATATTATGAATCTATATTAAAATGTTTAAAAAATTTCAAATATACATTGAGATAGAACTCAATATATTGCTCAATATTAATTTTTTAAAAGACAATTCTGAACATTCTCACTTTAAGTATGATAAGTATAAATTCACATTTAGCACTTTATCTTTTAGTTCGATATTAGTTAATATAATACAAAATCAACCTTACGAGGTTTTAAAAATTCTGTGTTAACATTTTTTTAATGTGTGTTAGCGTAAAAATATTTTCTCAAAATCCAGGTTTTTCTAAAAATGCATTTAAGGTAAAAAAAAAAAATGTCTGTCAGCCTTTGAAAGAAAGTAAAAACTAAATTAATTTCGGATAATTAAAATCAGAGAAGACAAATTTCGAAAGTTAGTGGAGAAAAAAGTTCAAACATAGTCAAGAAAAATAAAATCGAAATTTTTGTCGAAATTGCCGATTTTTAACCTGTTGGATACCATAAAAACTAACTGACAAAAGGTTTAGAGGTAAAATTTCAATTCCATTAAATATATATATATTTTGAAATTTTGAATGAAAAGAAAAAATGAAGTAACATTTAAATTTCTAGACAATTCTAAAAGACTAACAGATAAAACGTATGGGAGTAAAATTTTCATTCCATTAAGTACATTTTTTTTAATTTTTCATGAAAGGAAAAAACTAAATTAAAATTAAAATTTCTAGACAATTTTAAAATACGAACAAACAAAAAAGCAATGCATAGTTAATGCGAAAACCTAGAAGAACTTGATATTTTTTAAATCATAAATTTAAAAAAATTGATAAAAAAGTTAGCCTTTTTAAAAATTTACAACTTTAAAAGCGTACAGCCGCTTTAAAAAACTAATCGAGCATATAACAGGTAATAAAACTATTTTAAAATAAAAATATACCTAACATAAAACAATTTAAATTATAAGCTCCTATCAAACATTTAAAAAACATAACTATGAAAACTTATATTATCACCTTTAAGGAATTACTTTTTTAACACTTATTATAAATTTGGTGCCTTCAGTTAGTTAATTAACCTAATTTACTCAGAAATTCTTGTTCTAAGAGTAGACACAATTTGCTGAGTAATTTCTGAGATTTCCCCAGAATAGAAAGTTCTAAATTGCTTCCCTCTTCATAGCCTATCTCTTAAGACCAGGACCCGAAATAAAAGGTACTAAAAGCCAACATTAGCCTTTAACACTTTAGCATGGAGAGCCATAACAACGAATATGAGATCTACTTTATAATCTGAAATCTGTTGCCAAGACACTTATTCTTTGTCGTTAATGACGATAGACGAGAAGGCGGGAAAAACATTTTCTCTATTCTTTGCATAATAATCGTGTCGTAACTTATATTTACTCAATAAATTACTTCGATTCAAGCGTTGTTATTCCGAAATAATTATCATTAAAATAGATTGTTGTAAAAAGATAGGTTTTTATATGTTAATAAAAATACTTACAAAAATATTACAAAATATTGAAAACACATATGTGCATATTTTCACCCTTGTTAGAAGTAAGGAAAATTCGAGAAATGCGTATATCTACTTGCACTTCCTTACTTTTGAAAAT